TTAGGGATGCTCCGATCAGGATTTTTGCAGCCGATACGGAGTAACGATTTCTTGTCATGGTGATCGGCCGATACCGATGCCGATTATGATGCTTCAAGCTTTATATAGACGGTTTGATCGGGCACACGCGCCTGGCCCATAGTTAACTTTCGGTCTGTGTTTGTTTATCCGTCTGGTTATGGCGCCGGCTACAAACACAGTCGCGAGTGTTTTTATATCACTGTATTTCTGAAGGAAGACTATCTTTAGAAAATTTTCACATGTCATTTTCATTTCATCTTGCATGTTATATGCCTCAAAGCAGCGTTTGTGAGCTCAGCGCTGCTTTGTGTACAGCCGTTACTGGGGAAACCCGTTTCTCCCGCTTTAAAGCAAAGTCCATCATCAGTAAATCAATGTTCATTTAAAAGCAGCCCACGATCAGCGTATTATGTTACCGTTATCCCTTACTGCGCCGATGAGGTTTTATTACGTCCTTCACGCTGTGACACCTCACAAAAGACTATTTTTAGCCAAGCAGCGCGGAGAGCCGCTTCAGAAACCATGCCGTTGCTAGCTGGTATAAACACAAGCACTGACTAGAGCGGCCGCGATCAGCTCCGGTTCCCATGGAGCCGTAACGCGACGCAGACGTGTGCAGTGAGGCGCAGATCAGCTCTAACGTCACTGAATCTGCTGTTTAAAATGAACCATCTATTCATCATGCAAAACATACACGACAAATAGCGAATTTTTCATTATTTCTCGAAACGTCATAGCATTTCCACACCGGTGATGACATGATTGTTGCGCCAAATCATTTATGTCCCCATGTACGTCTTCACGCGTTGACGTCATCCAATTGCGATCGGTTCGTGAGATCTGCCAAGTGTAGTGATTACCGATCGAGTCATAAAATGTGATTATCGGCCGATACCGATCTCCGGCTGATCGATCGGAGCATCCCTCACTTTTGAACCAAATAAGTTTATCTTGGTCTCATCAGACCACAGGACATGGTTCCAGTAATCCATGTCCTTGGTCTGCTTGTCTTCAGCAAACTGTTTGCGGGCTTTCTTGTGCATCATCTTTAGAAGAGGCTTCCTTCTGGGACGACAGCCATGCAGACCAATTTGATGCAGTGTGCGGCGTATGGTCTGGCACTGACAGGCTGACCCCCCACCCCTTCAATCTCTGCAGCAATGCTGGCAGCACTCATATGTCTATTTCCCAAACACAACCTCTGGATATGATGCTGAGCACGTGCACTCAACTTCTTTGGTCAACCATGGCGAGGCCTGTTCTGAGTGGAACCTGTCCTGTTAAACCGCTGTATGGTCTTGGCCACCGTGCTGCAGCTCAGTTTCAGGGTCTTGGCAATCTTCTTATAGCCTACGCCATCTTTATGTAGAGCAACAATTATTTTTTTCAGATCCTCAGAGTTTATATATATATATATATATACATACTGTATATACACACACATACATACACACTATATATTATGTATATACATTTTTGTTTTGTTTGTACTAAGAAACTTCAGTGGGTGTACAAATCAGCAATGGGTGTATACCAGACATCAGCCCAGCCCATATATAAAATTAATGTATTATAATTAATGTAAATCATGATCATGGATATTTAAAACGGAACACACACACACATACATACATACATACATACATACATATATATATATATATACACACTCTGTTTTACATTTATATATTCATGACTTGCATTTATAGATTCAAACTTATATATTCAGAAATATAACTATTCGTATTCATTTAATATAAGAGAATATATTCAGACCTATAATTGTATAACCAGATTTACAAATATTATTCAGGATTCAGAAATATATATATTTAAGTCAAAAGTTTGATGAAAAACTATTAAAAATGTAAAATAAAAATATTCTTTAAAAAAGGTAAATACCAATACTACTGTATTGTTGTTATTTTTATTGTTAACCAATTATTGCGATTTAATTAGTAATTATTGATTGTTTATTGATATGAGGGTGATGATTATTCAAATGTTGCTAGTTGTATAATTATATACTAATTATTAATATTGCAAACAATTTATTGACATTCACACTGTACTGCCTGGTGAACAAAAACCTTTCCCACTCAACTAACCAAGCTCACATTCATGCTGTCATGGCCTTTGTGAGTGTCCAAGCTCTGCTCTGACTCCGTATGTGTTATGTGGAAGAGATGGAAAGACAGGCTGACCCCACAGACAGGCTCGAAATGTCAACACTCATCCAAATCAACTGAAAATCAAACTCCCTGTCATAGAAAGAAACCAGTGACCATTCAATTTCTCTGTTTTTTAGATGGCGTTCTGATAAATGTTTTTTTTTTTTGAGGGAATCTTACCTTTAACCTCAATAGTGGCATTTGCTGCAGGGGCCGAATCGAATGTGTACACACACATATACTCGCCCGAATCCTCTGGCCTTGGTTTATTAAGTCTGCGTAAAAGATAAAACACATTACACTTTTAAATTGAAGGTACCATAGGTGTTCTTTGAAGTACCTTGGCATAATACAAAAAGATTCAGAGTAACACACCCACAGGTAAAGACAAATCTAATGCAGGTTATATGTTAGCAGTACTAGTGTGTTCCTAAATGGTTAGTCTGATTAGATTAGGAGTCAGGCAGAGAGATTAGCAACACGTGTTGGTAGAGACAGAGGCCTTGCACAGGATTTAGAGCAATGCGGAGCAGAGCGCCATCAACAAACACTCAGCCAGAGCCTGAGAGTCACTGAGATAATACATTTACAAAACAAAGGCCAACTCAGGTGATGCAAATCACTATATGATGCCAAATTTTTAACACCTAGAAGCCTATATTGGAAGCCTACTTGTATTCTGTGCTCTTGGCTTCGCCCCTTGTGTCAGAGATCTCCACCCCATTCTTCATCCAGAAGCTCTCATGGTGGTTGCTTTGGGAAGTTGTAAGGTTGCACTGAAGCGTGATTGGTGGGATGTGGTAACCCATGGGTAGAATCATGTGATCCGTTGACTCAATTGATGGTTCTGGAAGCACAGAAGTATCGGTCAAGGCCAGAGAAATACTACATAAAAATACTACATAAAAATGAACAAAAAGATGATACAAATAAATTATATTTAGAAAAATAAATATTAAAAAAATATATAAAACATATTTAGAATCAAATGGTTCTGAGGTTGACCATTATGACAAGATTATTAAACAGACAAAATAATTTTCTTTCATTTCATATGCTATATCCAGTGGGGTCCAAAAGTCAAAGACCACAAAAGGTCTTGTGGTCTTTTAGGATTTTGACATTTAAAACAAAGTAACATTTTAATATAAAATGTATAATAAACGTCTCAGAGTCTGCAGACAAACACAAACCAAATACTAAATCCCGAAACAAAGTTCATTGTTATTATAACATCACTGATACACTATTATAGTCTTTGTTCATGTTTTGAACAGTGTTTTATTTTCAGTTAATGATAGTAACCCTGCTTCAGTTAAGCTTTTCACATAAAACATTCTCTTATATTATGATAATATCATTTATACTGAATTCTATAAGGAAGCATCGTGAGCTCACACATCTGGACTCCACTGTACATCATATGTGATACAGTCCTATAGGATAGGAGTAGTACAACTATATCAGCCATTGGACATTGAAAAACATATATCGGCTGACCAATAACCACTGTACCTTACCAGATTTCATGGATTCCTCGGAACAGAAACTGTAATATTGTCATGGTCAAATAAGGAGGACAAGGACATTTTACACTCAATAAGGGCTTTTTGACTACAAAAATAGGTCACTGCCTGTATATGTAGCAGCTACAAGGGCAAGAGTAATCTAATAGGATGGTGCTCTGACCATTTTGTACTCTGGTTATAGACTACAACAAAAGAAGAGGAAAAGGTCACTACAGCAAACGCTGGCCATGGCACTACACTAAATTCAGGTAAAATCAAGGGGGCGGATGGTTTATTTTGGCCACACCACTAGCGGGGACAGTTTAACTCACTCTGCAACACAGAAACTGTTGCCTGGGCTCGTATCCAGGTAGTGGACGGATTCTGCCGCAAATCGTTACGCCGTGGGTCGTTACTGGCCCTGCACTCATAAATCCCAGAATCCTCGATGGTGACGCGAGTGACGGCTAACACGCTTACACCATTGACGCCGTACGCTGTGTTGATGGACACGCGTTGCCTGCGCGCGCCATCCCACAACTGGAAGAAGCTGTCGGCCCTGTTCACCTCTGCGTACCACCACTGGATCTCAGGTGTGGGCTTCCCCACAACGTCACAGTACAGCTCAAACGTGTCGCCCGTCAGCTTAGTCTCAGAGAGGGGCAACTTCACAAAACCCGCTTTATTTCGATAGTCCACTTTAGACATTCTATTAACAGCAAGTAAGCCGTGCTTCAAGTCGAACGCACCTATTGCCTAGTAAGAGCTTGATTAGCTGGTTCAGGTGTGTTTAATTAGGGTTGGAGCTAAACTCTGCAGGACACCGGCCCTCCAGGACCGAGTTTGGACAGCCCTGAGATAAATACTCCCTCTCACATGAAAGACTCATCTGGTGAAACTATCTTCAGCACACAGGAAACTCACAAGAGTACCACAAACCTGATGCTGCCACCCAGTCACACAGCAAGTGCAAAGATCATGTTCTTTCCTGCACTGTAAGTCTTCACTATTGATTTTCATTCCACCCTGTGGACAGACCAGAGCAGCAAGATTTGAGTAAACGAGAGAGAAAGGGAAGGAAAAAGGAAGGTTACACTTTATTTCGATAGTCCACTTTAGACATTCTATTAACAGTAAGTAACTTTGGAACTACATGTCAACTAGCAGTAATTAGAGTATTAGTAGACTGTCTGCTTAATATCTTCTAACACTTTCTTTGTCAACTTATTCTACTAACCCTAAACCTACCCTAACAGTCTACTGTGAGAGTTAGTAGACATGTAGTTGAAAATCAATGAGAATTAGTTGACATGTAGTTGACATGTAGTTACAAAGTTACTGGCTGTTAGTAGAATGTCTAAAGTGGACTATCGAAATAAAGTGTAACCAAAAAGATCTTGTCAGTTATTTATTCAATTGTGTGTGTATATATATATATAGGAAATTAAATGAAACTCTGATATGACCTATATTTTATCATGATTTTTCCATCTTAAAGCACTGAGTTTTAAAATTCTGTCCAACACTGAAAACATGGCTAATAATAAAATTAATATATTATTATATTAATATATTAATGTTAAGTCTCTTATTCTCACCAAGGCTGTATTTATTTAATAAAAAATACAGTAAAAACTGTGACATTGTAAAATATTATTACAATTTTAAATAAATGTTTTCTATTTTAATAAATGTAATTTATTCCTGTGATGGGAAAGCTGAATTTTCAGCATCATTACTCCAGTCTTCAGTGTCACATGATCCTTCAGAAATCATTCTAATATGAAGCATTTGTGCTACATATATATTGCTATATATATATATATATATAAAATGTAGAAACTATATATTTTTTCAGGATTCTTTGATGACTGTAAAGTTCAAAAGAACAGCATTTATTTGAAATGTCACTTTTGAATAATTAAATACATCCTTGCTGAATATATCTATATATAACAAAAATAACTACAATAATTCATGAATCATAAACTAGAGGAAATAAGCATGTACTTTTAAATATCCAGTAAAAACTATATTTGATTTGTCACACTGGAAATGGAAAGCCAGGTCAAGGCAAGTGCATTGCATTGTGGGGTATAATTTTGTACTGCAAATTTTAGCAAATTTAGTACTTCCTCTGGGTATTCTATGCACACATGTGCATACGGTGCATAGTATACATGCTACATATTTATGCAGAATGCCGACTAGTATGTCAGTCTGCTATTCCAACCATAACTGGTTTGAAGATAATGCAATTGATTCTACAGAAAACACAAAGTGCACAGCTTTGAACGGTGCTGTCAAAATAGCACTCTGATTCCGAGCACCTCAGTGCAATCTCACTATTCATGTGTGGGTGTGCTAACAGACAGGCGGTTTCCATAGAAGCATACTACAGTAGTTGAGCAGGTAGGCCTTTAAGAAGAGGGAGAGCTGCCCACCACACTGCATACATGTCTGCCGCCCCCTCATTAACTGCTGTGTAAGCTGACTGCATTCACAGATATGTAGCCCTGCTAAGTGTTAACAGTCATATAGTGCAATAAGTGTTTGTTGTGTGCATTTCACAATACAGCAACATAGGAACAAAACCGGAGCAGAGACTGAAGGAGTGATCAATTACCACTTCTTTCTCATTAAAAAAAAACTGTTTTGAAATAAAAACCAAAAGAGACACAATGATTTAGAGCACATTCAAAAGATGTCAAAAGCAAAACTAAAAAGTATTAAGATATAAGCATAAATAAATTCTGGGAAAAAAAACATGATATTTGAACAAATGCCACTGACAGGTGTTTTGTGAAACTAAATAATGTTTTATGCACTCAAAGCATCATACTAATGATAATAATGTGTATACATATAAAATATAGCTATATTTTAATTTACTGGAGTGTGACTTACATTTATAAATAATAATACATATGCATATATAAATAACTATTTTATGATTTATTTTGATGTTTTGTTTGCATTTCTATTTTTATATATCTACCCTTGTTTTAATGTTGACACTTGCAACATAAAACTTTGTATTTCACATATAACCTTCAAAAGTCAAAAAAGTCTAACAGAAGAGAAAAATATAAAACAAATGTGACTACTACACTAATCATTTATTTAGTTTTAAGGATGTATTGTGGAATCAGTCGGTCAGTTTGGAATGGGGGTTTGTGTTAGTAGGAAGAACAGACAAAAAGATCAATAGCACAACTAATACAAAATGTTTCCTTAGAGGTTATGTAACATAAATATGCAGAGAGGCTTTTTACTGGTTGTACTGTATTATCATGTTAATCAGAACATGGTATTAAGTAAGTTTACACACAGTAGCCTACTGCTGGTTATTCTGATAATGACCTGATAATGTGATGATAAAACAATCATATAAGGGCATAATGAGAAATAAAGCAGGGCCAGATATGATTTTTACATCTAAACAGACTTCCTACTCCATGGGTGATAGAATGTACCACATGCTACATTGATAAAAACAATTATAGAAGCATGTTTTCTTTTGACGTGATGATCGCAAAAGAGCCTCACAGTAATTAGGAGGCGTAACTAAACGAAGAGCTCCTGTTCCACATTCCTGTGTACCTGAAAGGAAACTAACATAGTGCCTGACCTTCAAAACTAACAAGCTTCCAGCAGATTCTTTAAAGTCAATGTGTATTTCAATCCATTTTATTAACGTAATCTGACGCATTCAGCTGAAACAGGAAAAAATGTGTAAGGAACAATAATAAAAATTAAAAAAATTAAAAATTAAAAAGGGTAAATGTTAACATTAAAGGTTTAATTAAAAGTAGGGATATTTAAATTCTATAAGTTCTATAATATTTTGTCAAAATAAATATAAAATAAAACACTAAAAGCAAGCATTGTAAAATGCTGCAAGTGAATTTAAGCATAACAACCTTATGAAAAGTATGAAAATGTATTTTCATTTTAAGATTTGCTAAAAATTGCATTTAACAGTGCTATTTAATTGTTAATGTTTCATTATATTATTTTTCAATATTACTTTACTATATTACTTATATTTTAATTATACATTATAATTTTTTATATATTTAGTTAAGTGCTATTTTAATTATTAGTATGAAATGTTTTTATATTTACTTTTTTACTTTTACTGTAAGTGAGCATTAGATGACATTAAAGATACGGATGGACTGATACTGATTAATTTAAAAATCTCAAAAATTGATATGATACCAATATACCGTGCACCCCAAAGGTGTCTCCATCAATGTAAGTGCATCTAAGCTTCAGGAACTAATGAACATATGTGGACAGGGCATGTATGCTATTGCATATAGTCACTTGCTAAAGATATAAGCAAAAACCTTGTTAGCCTAAAGGCAGCAAGTGCTGTTGTGCTCTTATGCCTGTAACCAAAGACAGCTATGCCAAAATGATCCATTTGATCAAATGTGTCTGCGTGTGCTCATGCATTTGTACGCAAGAGATAAAAAGCGTGTGAGTGAGATGAAAGGAAAAGTGTCAGGTTTGATCTTCATATGATTTTGTGGCCCCTCACAAACAGGCAATGGGCATAACAGTGGGTTGTGACCCAAAAATGGACCCCAGATCTGTTCTGAGAGGGTTGCCGACAGCAACAATGATAAATGCAAATTATAATTTGCAACTAACAATATACTCATGCCCAGGAGAGTAAAATAAATAGGTTTATCAACTTCTAAAATTAAGAAAACACTTCCCATATCTTTAGTTGTTGACATCCAAGACCATGCGTCCAAACAGTACAGAATTTTGGCACAAATGTATATGTCGCTTGTTAGAAGCTAGTCAAATCAGGCAAAAATTACATAAGATGAAAGAAAATATGATCCAGACTACATTAAAGGAATAGTTCATGCAAAAATGAAAATCTTCCGAAAACTGACTCACCCTTCAGCTATCCAAGATGTAGATTAATTAGTTTTTTTTATCTGAACAGATTTAAAGAAATTTAGCACTACATCACTTGCTCACTAATTGATCCTCTGCAGTGAATGGGTGCCATCAGAATCAGAGTCCAAACAGCTGATAAAAACATCACAATAGAGTGCTACAGTTGTGGTGTCAAAACATGTTTTTTAATTTATGAGACGCAAAACATTCAAGCATCATTAAGTTATGTTTACCACAGACCTTATTTCACTCATAAATAGAAAAACCCCATTAGAAAAACCCATGGGAAAATCTCAAGGGAACCAGTGGCGAAGTAGTCTGGGTTTTGCTGTCACGGCTGCAGCACTCTATAATCCACAATACTCCAGTCTAGGGCTGCACGATAAATCGAAATCGCGATTTGACAGAAGCTGCGATTGTCATGCGGAAGCTATGCAAACAGCTGTCATTATCGCGAACGATTTCTTCGATTTCAGAATCGTGTTATAAAATCGTCTGCGATTTTTTTTTGCGTAACTTGTCAGTGAACTACGGCTCTGTGTAGTAAATTCTGCTCCATCTGAAAGCACGTGATGATGATTTCCTGCTGATTACAGAACCGGCATTACTAACAAAATGTGCATGACAATTGCATGCGATTAATCGTGCAGCCCTACTCCAGTCCATCAATTAATGTATTGTGAAGCAAAAAGCTGCGTGTTTGTAATAAACAAATCCATCAATAAGAAGTTTTTAACTTCAAAACATTGCTTTCCTTGCTTTTAAAACTCTCATTCTGACGGCACCCATTCGCTGCACAGGATCCATTGGTGAGCAAGTGATGTAATGCTCAATTTCTCCAAATCTGTTTGAAAAAGAAACAAACCTATCTAGACCTTGAATGGCCTGAGGGTGAGTACATTTTCAGCAAATTTTCATTTTTTGGTTAACTATTCCTTTAAATACAGATGCACTTGCATATGGTTGGGCCTATGTTTGATTTTTTTTTTCATTACAGAAATATTTTTTTATATAATGTGATGGATCGTAAAAACAATGGATCAAAACAAAAATGGATCGTCCTCCTGGAGCAAAACCGGTTGAGAACCACCAAATCCAATCAGCGGGTCACCTTGAATTAGGTGTTCAACACGAACTACAATCTAAAGCTTAATCAACTCATTTTTCCTACAGGCCCTGTAATAATCCATCAGATTTACGATGCTAAAACGAACGCATTAGTCAAACAGAATTAATTCATAACAGGTTATGGCCAGGAGATGAAGTCATGTGTTACCGCTCATTAACTGAGCGCGTTCATGACATCATAATGCACCGCGTTGCTCCTCCGTTAAGACTTTAACGCCCCATTCACACGGGGCGTCAGCGTCAACGCCTCTCGTTTACTTTGAATGGAGTGACGTCAAGCGTTGGCAAAATGAATTGTGGGTCCGTCGCGTCGCGTCGGGTCCGTTGCTCGCGGCAGAAGTTGAAAACTTTTCAAGCGCCAACGTAGGCGTCAGCCAATCAGATCGCCTTATGCAAATACCCTAGCTCAGACGCTAGCCAATCGCGTTCATGCAACACCAGGAGACTAATGTGATTGGCTGTTGTCACTATGACGGTCGTCAGTACCAAGCTTCAGAAACGCCCTCCGTCAAGCGTTAACGCTGACGCCCCATGTGAATGGGGCGTAATGGGTCCGCGCGCACGGGGAGGACATTAACGCCATGCATACCGCTGCTGCATCGGCTCTATAAATAGAAACATGCAGCAGAATGGACTGCTGCTATTTACGGCGCTGCAGAGGACCGGTGCTCAAAGCGGGTACCTGCCTCTATTTGACGAGCGAGTTCGGGCGAAAATTACGCAAACAGATCATTTTGCGTCGGAGGAACAAACGGGAGAATTCCTGAGTCACATGCCGCATGCAAATCAAGCACAAGTGCGAAAACACACAATTCTGCATTCTGATCGGTCCGCGTTGGCTCAAGCAGGTTTGGGTTTGTGACAAGCAGCCGATGACCCAACTAAACACATCCAAATTATTCTGTAAAAGAGCCATAAATAGACGCGCCCTGTGGGACAAGTCACCAAATATTACAAATGTAACCTATTTGTGAGCGTATTGAAGTAGAACGGCGAGCCGCTATTAAGACATAAACTGCCTTTTAAGGCGGAATTGCAATGCGTTTTGACATTTAAACCTACAAGGACACATTTACCTAAATATTTAATAGGCTACACATAAATGTCACCCTTCACACCCTGGGCGCCCGTTTAGTTCTGAGCATTTCCGAAAGCAATGCTGAGGATTGGTGAGAGTTTATCCGGTGCGGTCGAGGCAAATACCTTGCACGTGCCGCAACCGTTCCCTCATCAGGAAAGCCTTTATAATCTGTGATGAAACGGTTCTTTAAACGCAACACATTTTAAAAGTCCTTACCGTTCTGAGCGGAGCCCGAATGCAGCATCAAGACTCCGAATATGATCACCAAGGGATTCCCCGCGTAAGACATTTTCTAGGTCGTCTGGCTACCTGGAATGTGTGTGGAGGGATGCAGAGGAGAGGGAGAAGAGGGCTGTCGAGGAGGATGTGAGTGGAGAGGGAGCCGCTACAATGACGAGGCGACCCTGGATGGAGCTCGAATCGGGTCACGCAAAAAGCCCGTCGCCTAGCAATAGCGAGCGCCGTAAGTAGATGCCGCCGCTACACTTACAACCGGTTTAAAACGAGGCTCGTGAAGACGGTGGCGCTGTCCTCATAAATTCCCGCGATAGCAGACCAGGGCTGCGTTCAGCCCCGACAAAACGGTGCAAAACGTTTTTTAAACGGAAACGGTGGCGCGTTGAACACCCTGTTCCGATGACGCAAGAGTTGCAACTAGGGCTGTCAAAAAAAAATTCGAATTTTGAATTAAAAAAAAAAAAATCCAGGGTCTGCCGATTGTATGTGTCATTGATTGCATTTGAATGATTTTGTTAGCCTATCCAGATGAACCCACTAGATGGGCGCTGCTATGTTGTTCATTCATATATTGCGGGAAACGAGAGCATGTGGAGAAGATGTTGTTTATGTCAAAACTGAAACCAAGCGGTTCACACAGAACGCATATTTATCACATTTTCTAGAGGGACATCTATCAGCGTTGCTCTCGCAGAGAGCAGCATGTTTAGAAAGCCATGTAAAATTAATGCAAGTTCAACTTAAAAAAAAAAACATGTCTAAAGACGTTTATGGAGGTTTTTCCCCATCCCACTGTATCTCATGTTTTTAAATGAAGAAAATAGCCTACTCTTTGTGATTGGTTTTCGGTCCTTTGTATTAAACTATACTTGCATGCATGGTCCTGTTTTTTTTCTAATTGTTTAAGCAACTTTATATATGGTTTATAAACATTATTTGAAACATTATGCACTTTTTTTTCAAAGATAGTCGTGTTATTTTATTAGGCTTTGAAGAAACGTGCATAATATTTTGCTGGATGCGCCCTCTTGTGGCCTCACATTCCGAACGCTTTGGAAAAAAGCAGAAAGCCGCACGCCTAGCGTTTTCCACGCGTTTTTAGGCGTGACATGTGAACGGCCCCTAATACTGCAAAATACGCTCGATGTTACAGTCACTACCCTTGCCGTCCAGAATAAAAGAGAAATCCCAATCGAGTGAAGGGATTTGTGGAAACTGTGGTTCCTAATTATTGTGATCCAACATTTGCCTCGCATTTCAGGATGAAAAAAAACAAACATTTCAGGTGAAGGATAATCCACTTCTTACCTCCGAGACTGTGTTATGATCTATATGACCTTATTATTTTTATTGTGAGTATTAGGCTTATCATTATTGCTGATCACTGTTGTTGTGATATTGTAATATTTACCATTATATAATCAGAAGAGTAGCCTATAGAGAAGTTTATGAAAGTGTCACTCCACAATACAATAGCAGAATATATAAATATGTATAGTATTTTTATGTTACATTAATCAGTGTCTAGCACACCTTCCTAAGGAAAGGATATGGACCAGAAAACATTGCAATAACTAAATGATATTTAGACGGACTTAAAGAAGTTCCAGATCTATACTTGTGCTCTTATTTCAGTTATTTTGCCTTTAATGTAAATAAACCTGTGCAAACAATATACTTGCTCTTGTGAATTTATTTTGATGTTAATTACATTGCGAGCTGTCTCTTTAATGCGTGGTTTATATACATGTTGCTGCTGATTGGACTGACATTTTTGACACATAAACAAGAGAAAACGTATCTCAACCCCCCTTGCACACCGTTTCCAGGAAACATGTCGTTCAAACCGGAAACCGTAGCAAAACGTTGCGCACGGTTTGAGCTTGAACTTACCACTGTCCTGCCTGCATCCCAGAAAGATGGACGCAATCCTCAGGTGATCATATTCTTCTTGATCTTGATCATATCATATTCTTATATATGGGGCTTCGTGGAGAAAATTGACTTTTTTTTTTTTTGTTCATTGTTGTAATCTTAAAGCTGAATTCGTTCATTTAGTAAAAAATTTGTTGAATTTATGCTACCAGCTGATCTTTATCGTAAAAATACAGTGTGACTGTATATATTAGTTTCTAACAGTAGGCCTATGTTAATAAATTAAATTGTATAATATTTTTTTTTTTACAATTTAATATTGTAAAACATTATTTTACAGGTAATTTACATGTATTTTAAAATGTAATCTATTTTATGTTAGGTAACTTACATTTAAGTAGTTAACAGGTTTTAACTGTAGTATTTTTATTTTACGTTTTAATTCAGTAAAATTAACTATACAATATTGAATAGTTTGTGAGATGAATGTTATAATGAGATGGATTGACATGAACTAAATGCACTGAAAAGACAACTTTGCTGACACCATAAAAATAGGGTGGTACATCTAAAGTGTGAGATGAACTTGAAGTTCTCAAATGTTTAAAAAACGGGGGACATTGCTTTAAACTGAGTTTTACAACAGTCTTGCTGCAACAAACCATATTTTAGGGGGGAGGGGGGGCTGAGAAATTATTGCTACTTGCTCTGTAGGGAACCCGACACAAAAAAATTCTTATAACAGTAATAGTTTTTTTGCTCTTTTTATTTTTACCAACACATTAAACTTAAATCTATCACCGCTATTATGTGCCAACATTGCCATTCCCTGCCAAAACAAACAATTTAATATACTGTATAGCTCTCAGTATGACAGTCTACTGCCATCTACTGGACAGTAATGTTAACAGAATAAGAATGAAAAAATGTAAAAAAATAAAATAAAATTTGGGTAAATACATGCTACCTTGTAAAGGTGAAAAAGTATATTTAATTAAACAATTTTAATATTAATAATGTGTTTTTGGAGCAATTATTACTTACAATTTATATTAACCAATCAGAATTTGGCAGAAAGTTTTTTCTTGTTAACAAAACTTGGTCTAAACCATGGCATAAAAATATAAGTAAAATAATAAAAAAGTTGCGTTCTTTGAACAAATCCAGCTTCATTACAAATGCATAAAGAAACAACTATTACTCGATTTAATACTATTAATATTTAATATTATAAATAAACAACGCGATTCTATCATTTTGACAACTGTACAGAAATTCAGTTGTGTGTCTCTCTCATTGCACTCTAGTTTGTGATTGTTTGCACTTGTACCCTGAGCGGGCAAACATGGCACTTCATGTCATGCGCAAGCTGTTCACACTAGCTCTGACCAGAATAGATGCTAACTGTGATATCTCTGTATACATAAACATCACGTTTTTACCAGTTTATATTATGGATGCATGAAAACTGTTTCCTAAAACTGACATAGTCCATTCAGGCAATGGTAAACAAGTGTTGGAAACATCTTCTGTTAGAAATGCTAATACATACCAAGGAAGTTTCGAGTTCCGCATTCTGTAGCCTAGGGCTGCGTCTGTCTGGTATATTCTTCTCTTTTTCATTTCTCATCTGTCCCACACCAGATGAAATTGGCATGCAAGTAGGCAAGTTGTGTTCCAGAGAAATGCACACTTAACTGCAGTGTTGCAAATAATGTTTTGGGTATTTTAGGGATTGTCAAAATGAATTTATTTAAACTGTTTAACTGCTGTAGTACTTATTGTACTGTATTTGATAATAATATAATATCTAGAGGATGCTGGTCAATGAACAATAAAAAGAACAAAATAGAAGTTTATAGATGCTGATGGAGCCTATGATGTCTGATGATGCCTCTGGTGTTCTTCCAGCATATTATTCCTGTTGCTAATTAAAACAGCAGTGTGTCATTTGCATATTATTTGCACTCTCAAAACATGAGCTTCAAGGTTGAGCAACAGGAATCATGATCGCTTCATTTAACATTAACTCACAACCACCCAAAACATAGTTTGACAAAATAATAGTTAACTCACAACCACCCAAAACATAGTTTGACAAAATAATAGTTAATAATAGTAATAGTTAAATAATATTTATTTAAACACAGTGCTTACAAGGTAGCAGTGTATTTTCCTCAGGCATTCTAATTAATTTTCTATATGCTTAATGTAAAGGCTGTACAGACATAAAGATTAAAACTTTTTATTTTTAGATAATTCCTGCCTTAGGCACAAAGATAAGTATTAAAAAGCCTTTAATATATATTTTTATGTTTATAAAAATTATGCTTAGATGTTTTAGATTTAAGTTTGAGAATTCGCTGTGCTACAAACAGTGCACTTTACACCAGGAAATGTAAATCAAGTGCACCAATAACAACAAAATATGTAAACCTCAAAGTACAGTTTATTTCACTCTTAAACAAACATACAACATATTATTTGTGATGAGGTTTGGCAGCTTTTTTTATTTTACATTCTCAAAGAGAACAGAAAAGAGTACAAATAAAAAGATTAATTTTAAAAAGAGGTTTGTATATGTATATACAAGAAACGTTTATCTTCTCATTCAGAAAAGAAAATAGAAACATAGGTTATGTCATTAATTCCTGAGATTTAGGCCAAATATTGAATCACTCAGCTTTAATTTTCTTCTTAAATGCTAGTTTAAAGCACAGATATTTTATTATAGTGTAAATCATGAAACAAAACAAAGCAACTATAATCAGCAGAGACAAAATAACATCTATAGAGTGGTACTCAATCCAGGACATTCTGAAAGACTGTGTTCGTAAATGAGGAGCTCCTCTATTCCTCATGACAAACTCAATCCAGAAGACAGCGCGATCAAGAGGTTTCATTGGCTGGTCGTGGTGCAGCTTGGACAGTCTCTGCATGTTCTCCTTGTAAGATGGGTTATACAGCACTTCCTCCAGTGCCTGTAGAAACATTGTCCTGTTCAACTCTGCAATATCCACAAGTTTAGCTGTGCCTCTAACTTTCATTCTAGAAAGATTGTCAGGTTGATCAAATATTATAGGTAGACCCAAAATGGGCACCCCATGATAGATGGCCTCTTGGATGCCATTAGTGCCTCCGTGTGTTATAAACATTTTAGTCTGAGGATGTCCAAGCAGGTCATTCTGAGGTAACCAGTCAGCAAGTAATGTATTATCACCAATATTCACAGGTTGAGGTCCGGTGTGTCTCCAAATTATTTTTTGGGGCAATCTGGCAAAAGCGGCAGCAATTTCCTCTGTGATGTCTTGTGGGAGTTGGCTAAAAAGAGTCCCTAGAGACATAACGATGAGTCCATGATCTCCTGAGCTCTGTACAAACTCATCAAGATCAGCTGGAAGCGGCTTGGCAGGTTTACACTGGAAGCCGCCCATATAGACAATATTGGGCATTGTGGGTCGTGGAAACTC